GTTGCAGTGAGCCGAGATCACATCACTGCACTCCAGCCTGGGCAACAGAGCGAGACTCCATCTCAAAAAAAAAAAAAAAAAAAAAAAAAAACTGTCAAAAGATACCTTCTCTTGAAATGTGGCTAATTATATCACTCTCCTGCTCAAAGTCCTCTCTCACTCCCTTGAAGATAATTTTCACATTTCTTAGCCTAGAATCTCTCTCCAAACCTGTTTCAAGCAAAATAAACCACTCCCCATTCCCTACATACATCTTTGACTTAACATTGACTTACACAGGTCTCTGCCTAAAAAATCATTCCTCCATTCAAAGCTTGCCAATATTTTTTAAAGCCAGTTAAATACCTCCTTCTTCATGAAGGTTTCCCCGACTCCCTGTCTGAACTCCTATAAGTGCACCTCTTAGGGGACTTACTGCTTTCTCATACGAATTATTATTAGTTACTCCCCAACACGAGAACAAGCTACTTATAGACAGGTTCTGTGTTTACCTTTTTACTGCCCATAACTGATCACAATAGTCACTGGAAGTTTAAATAACTGAAACTGAAACTATTACTCCAGGAAGAGTCTCCAATCAGGTACCATGGGAAGGAAGACAGAGGTAACTGCAGTGTATCACGCATGTGAACATCTACCAGTGGTCTTTAAAACCCAATGTCACACTACTGTCATCTCTACATGCTAAAATATGTCTAATTTCACTTGTATTTTCTTTTGGCCAGGATGCTTAACGCTGGTTTAAACTGCCTACAACATAGCTCCCAAGTGTAATAGCATTTGCAAATATTGATCCTATGCTCACTACTGTAGTGAATAGAAAGTCCTTTGTCTACAGAACTCTAACACAGCTATAAGCAAGAACTCTCAAAGAGCAAATCTAAGATTAAGCAAATCCAAGAGGCAATCTGAATTATAGTTCATAATTTTAAAATCAAGTATAAAACCTTCTCTGAATCTGAAATCACAAAATTTTGATAAAGAGAAATAGGGAAAAGTATCTGGGATATAAAGCAAGTTTTTAGACATATGATGCTGAGAATCATCTGGCTAAATATCACTAAAGTATATATTTCTACTCATAAATCCTTACTGTGTAGAACAAAAAAAAACGGGAAGAGAAAAACCTCTGGGAAGCACAAATAGCTGTGGAACTACTCTTATTTTTTTAATCTACTATGTCTAACAAGACTCGTGAACTTATTTCCAAGTCCATAGTGAACTATGTGCAAAATATGTGGTGAGAGGCTGCCCACACATGCTGAAAGCGGAGAAAAGTAAAAGTTGCCAGCCTAACGGTAAAGTAAGACAGAGGGAAAAAATTTGAAGAGTAAACTCAAGAGCTCAAAAAGCAGAGCAGCCTGAGAGTAAAGGGGGCAAAAGTTCCTACAAAGCTGGCGGGGTCTTCATGGCTTCACCATGTTATAGCACAACACAATAATTAATCTTCACTATGTGAAATCTTAGTTATCAAGTAAATTATGTTTCTTAGTTTGTTAGAGAAGTTGTGACAGCATTTAGAAAGGCATTATCCAAAAGCTGTGCTCTTTAGAGATAACCCTTAATTCCTTAGAAAATTCAATTGTGTGGAATATTCCATTTCTTTTACACACAGAATGAAGATTTTACTCCTTTATGCCAAATCATTTTGTATCTTCTTGATTAAAATGACTATCAATATTTGTAATTACGAGCTTGGACTTAACAACTCATACAAACAATGGCAGCACTAAGCAACACAGCAACTCCAGCACTTCCTTACACTTCTTTAAAAGTAACAAGTTCCTAGCACTGAAAGCACTTGCCTTTTTTTAGGTTCTTAAATCTCAGGCACTAAATATAAAGTAAATTTCAAGAAAATTATTTTAACTCCAGACACTCAAAAGTTAATTCTGAGTGCTAACTTTGGTTTTCTCTTCTTCTAATTTTTAGTCATCTAATTCCTGGTAACACTAAAAATAAGGATATAAGATTTCTCATTATCAAAATCATCCTGTCATCACTACTCCTATCAAGGATGGTAATAATGTGATTCTCCTGAATTGATATAATTATCAAAGAACATCTCAGAAAACTTAGGCAGGCTCACAGAGATTAAAGTTATCACAGCTACAAAATGACAGCAGAAATTGGTCTGATTTCTAGTTAAGTATGCATCTACCATTTATCAAAAAGTTCACAATCCAAATGAAAATTTAAACGAAGTGCATTATCTTAACTTGTTATATAAAAAGACTGTTTCACCATCTTTGACACAAAGTGATGTGAATGGGGCTTGTGGAAGCCTGCATGATGGTGGATTTGCACTCACTAGTCCATGCTCAACTGACCTCGATTGTGAGCAAATCTGAAAGACCAGCAACAACCATAGAAAAACGGTGGAACTAACCGCCTCTAACAACACGCTGGCAGCAGCACTACCCATTCCAACGGGCAAAATCCACTACAAACTACTAAGCGCAGTTTGGAATCCCAATTAGGCACTAAAAAAAACGCACAAAACCTGCAGTGGGTAGGGCCTATTCATTTAGGCATCCAACAGTCTTCCAGCTTTTCAAAGACATTGACAGGATTATTCCTGAATTTGTCAAACATAACAAAGTATTCTGAATGAATATTCTCTAATAATTGCATGTAACTATAAACAAAAATGACAGGCCAAAAAAACACCATTCTAAGTCTTAACAAACCTTTCCTAAAAAATTAGCCAAATAAAAGTTCAAAGGTTTTTTCTTGACTAGAGACATTTAAAAGTGTTATTTTGGGATGTTACCTGTAAAAAAAAAAAAAAAAATTAGTTTGAACCTGACAGATTATAATAAATTTCAAAAAATTTGAAGTGGAAGTCTACATTAAATGACGCAGGAATTTAAAGTCAGAGTACATAGGATACACAGATTTACATCAGTATTCATCTTAACTATGATCAAGCAGCCCAAAGTTAGAATTTCAAAGTTCCCAAAAATCGATAGTTAAAATGGTTTTCTCCAAATTCTTTTGCAAGAGGAAGTCTTCATAAAAAAAAAAAAAAACACAAAAAAAAAACAGAAAAAGTACAAACTACAGAACCTGCCTGCATTATCTACAATTAACCCAAAGTTCCCTAAGCAGACACATAACCAGGAAAATCAATATACCATGGTATTAGGTACACCTTGCATTCATATATATTACAATGCATTCTTCATGTTGTTACTGATTTATCTTCCAACTCCCTGAAGAAAGCTCCGGAGTACAGAGAACTTGGCCTTTAGCAATCCATCACCAATCCAATTCTTAGGGGAAAAGAGTCCAGAAGAGACAAAGGAGGCAGGGAACCCACCAAACAAAAGGAAAAGGCGGCGAAGGTCAGGTGCGAAAGCATTTGATAGACAAGTTTTGAAAAAACTCAATTCCAATTCTACAGATGCTCGGTAAGTGGGAAGGGAGGGTGGCTAAAAAGATTCAATAATATTTCTTATTAGCAGGAGGGAGAAAGGATTAAAAGCCTAATTTCTG